TCTAACAACCCAGATGCATCTGCATGTCTGTGCTATTTCGGGTCCTAGTTCAGGTAAGTTGTTAAAGTTTCTCAGTCTTCCCAGTTCAAAGCAGCATTGTCATATCTGCCAAAGACGTGGGTTAGATCTTTCAATTGGCAAAAATGAAGTTTCTACATGTAGAACAGGCAAGTGACTACTGCTAAATGTTGCTTGCTCTGCATCTCGGCACAGTTAATGGCACTGGAAGAATTCACGGGGTTTTTATAACACGCCCGTGATCTCTTAGTGGCATCTATGGTGCGGGATATTACGTACAACAACTGAAAGCTTCTCTTCGTATTCCAGACATGCTTCTTAATTGTGTTAATTGAGCCGTAAAAAACTTGTAAACGGGTTTCAACATTTTTTTTGTGCGTGATAGAAAACAAACTCTGGCCAGTTTTTTGTCAGTTGGCAACAGGCTTAAGCTGCAATAAATTGGTTAGTTGTTTTGTCGTGATAAGCCGCGCATCTATTGTGGGAAATGTATTATTGTTATTGTTGCCTACGCTCATTAGCACCTAAGCTGAACAATCTAATTCATAAATACCGATTGTAAATAACAAAAAGAAAAAGCTTCAAAAACCTTAAGCCTTAAAGAACTCTACAGCGTTTGTTGCGGGCTTGGGGACTTCAGAGCGCCGGACGTGGCAGCCTTGAAAAATCACCTTTCACACTGGCCGCAGTTTTACAGAGGCATTGCTACAATTAATAGTTCAATGAACTTCAACTAAAGCGAGCGGATGGAACGGTGGTAGCAACAGCAACAACAACTGAACAAAAAAAAAAAAACAGCGGCAAGCGTTTGGAGTGAGGAAAGAACACAAAGTACCACAGCTTGCTAGGCCCCAACCATGGATAATAGCCCAATGGAGTGAAAACAGAACAGAAAAAACAGAAAAAAGCCAGCGCGGAGAGCGCAGAAAAAAAGATAATTAACTTTTTTTAAGTATGCCAACTGAAAGAGGCGCAGTTCGTCAACAAGTTGGCAAGCGACCAACAAATTACAACACATAACTAAAATGCCCGCATGTGTGAGAGAGTTCCATGGGAGTACCAGGAATCCGGGTGCCCAGTTGTGCAGGGTTGCTCCATTGTAACCACAACACTATCTGACACGAGGGTGTTTCCAGCGACCTTCCAGGGCTTAAGTCTCTTCCGACTTGTCAACTGAACGCTTCAACGATTTCATGCATAAATTTTGCTGCAAATTTTACAGACGCCTCACGAATGCAAGAAAATTCCTGCACGAGTTCTTTGATTACGATAATTCTGCACTTGTCCGCCAACAGCAGCACCAGCTCCAGAGAGTTCCACGTTCCGCTTCGCTGGTCTCGGAAGTGCAGCTAGCAGCGTTTCCTGTTTGCGAGCACATTTTACTAATAACGAGACAACTTTGACTATGAATCAACAAACATATCAATTTCCCTAATATATTTTTAAGCATAACAGAAAATAGATAAAGAACTCCTACACATAAAACAAAAGTCGCAAACTAAAACAAAATATGTGCACAATGTGTGTCCCATATAAAAAAACCCCAATTTTGAATCTTTCGCATACAAATTAACAGCTTATTTAAAAATTTTAAATTTTAATTAATTTTTTTCATTATGAGATAAATTTATTAACTTATATTTAACGAATTCTCACTATTTCAAACTCTCGCAATAAACGAAGCTTGTCTGACTGGAAGATGAATATTCCTTTTACATATCTACCCCTTTATCTGAAACGTTTATAATCCAAACAGATCGACAAGTTGAACAAAGTAACATTATAAAATAAATTTAGTATAACTTTCGAAGAGCATTGGCAACTATGACATTCATAAATTTCGGAAATATTAATTAATTTATAACATCAATTAATCAAAAAATACAAAAATTATACTATATATTTTCCTCAGATCAGCTTTATTATAGTACAAGTTAGAACGTTTCCGTTGATTTATGATTTCTGAAAATTGTAAATAGTCTACCTTCCAAATTTAGATGACTTTAGAGTCTATACTAGAAACTAGGCAATATAGCTAATATCAGGCGAATATAGTCGAAAGCCGAACGCGCTTCATTTCAACAATTGTCCAATTTTCCGGCCAACTGGCGATACGACTGGCTGGAGTGTCTAAGCTAGCCGAGATGAAAATATGCTGGCCAACTTGTTGCTGCTCCGTTTAAGTCCATTAAATGACGACAAGCCAAATTGCCAGCCGAGTGCTGTCTTCTTGTTGTTAGTGTCACAATATGCTCGACCATTTCGAAAATTACCTTTAATCGCGAAAGTGAGTTGCCTAATTTGAATGGCCCATAGGCCGAGCCCCTGCAGACCGAAAACTGAATTCAAAGCTGTGGGAATTGTGGCAATTGGCGAGCTGTTGGCCATTTGAAATCACGCTCCAGATTTGCGCATAACACGGCTTGACCGTTGGGGTCCGTTGGGGTCTCGTGTGGGTGGCACTTCTGGCGGAGACGCAGCTGTGCGTTGATAGTTTTTCCTGGGCTGGAATGCGGCGCCATTCGCCATGAGAATTGCGGCAGTTCACACAGTCTCAAGCGGGTCGCATTCTGATTGACGTCCGAGCTTAATTATGTAAATTATAGCAAGACCTAAAAAAAAGAGGGAGCGCAAGAGAGAGAGAGAGAGAGAGAGAGGGCACGCTTAGTTTTTCATCTATGAGCCTCAATTACGAAGCGGCAAATAAAAACAAAAAGAAATACTTTAGCGCAACTAAAAGCTGCACAAATAAAGCGCAGCTAAACTGTTCCTGATGCGGATGCCGATGCCGTTGCAGTTGCAGTTGTTGCTGCCGGTAAACCTGCCGCCAACAGTCCGGCTTTTGCAAATGATGATGAGGCCACAACCATGGCAACAGTAAGAACTACAATGCCAAAGACATCCATGTGCCATGACAAACGACAAAGTTGTCGTTAGGTCCAAAATTAGAGGCATTTACATGCCGGCAAAGCGAAAGAGACAGAGCCACAAGCTAGAAAGAGACACGGCCACAGATATGCGCTGGAGGTAAACATTGAGAGCTAAAATTGAAGACGCATCAATGCACCTGGCCAAGATTTGTATTGGCAACGGCCGGGACTGCAACTGCAACTGCGACTGCGACTGCGACTATGGCTTTGGACTATGTAAATATTTTAGCAGCAATTTTCAGCTTAAATGCCTTTAAAGCGAGGCGTGTCCTATGGGCGAATAGGGCGCTTGAGCTCAGTTAAGTTAGCTCTTTGCGTATGAAGTTACTTTTCACAATCAGAATCAAGAGATTAATGAATAGAGCTATTATTTGCATATAAAGCCAGCGGCTGTCAGAAGGCTGCTTTAATATTAAGGTTGCAAGTCCAAAAGAATTTTGTTGCTGGTGCGGCTCACGCCTTAAGGTTCAGTTCGAGAACCTGGCTTTCTATATAATTGAACCTAGGTTTTGGTGCGCCGAATTTTCGTATTTACAAAATAAACATTTACAACTTTCGTTCAATGGATGTAACATATGTTCAGTAGGGAAGTCCAGTTCCAGTCCAGCATCGATGTTTTCTCCTAGAGTCTAGAGGGATTTTCCCTTTTTATCTAAGTCGTTTTGGATCTGTTCGCATTTCGCACGTTTTCCCCATTGTCGTTAGCTGCTTTCAAATTGTTTTGTTTGTTGACGAATTTACAATTACAAAAAAGCAAAAAAAAAAAACTGAAATGCGCGTCTACACGTGATTTCACAACAGACACGAATTTCTTGAGTGCTTTGCAAAATAAAAAATCAAATAAAAAATTCTACGAAATTCAAGTCTCACTTTTCCTTAGGAGACCAACTAAAAGAAGTGTTGAAGGACAACAATTTTTGCAAATATATAATTTGGATGTTGCTTCGGTTCATAGAAATAAACATTAACAAATTCGGATTCCTACGGCATACCTAAGGTCCATTAAGTAATAAATAGAAAGGCCTTTTACCCAATGGGTTATATCAGTGTTTCTGATAAATTACGATCGATTACGAAGGATCTGCATTAAGATCGATTAATAGCAAAAACTAAAACGTTATGAAGCTCAGGTTCTCAATAAACTGAATGATTAATAATGATTAATAAGAATGATTAATAAGAATAATTTGTCTTAAAGCCCAGTACCCCGATAATTTTTCCACTTATCTTAAGTCGACTTCTTCGAATCCTCGTGTGATGGCAATGTACCATATGATTTGCCATATTATGTTGTCATATTGACATATAGTCACATATTCGCACTGAATAGTTGGGGAACTATACAACTTACCACTAAAATCAAAGATTAATTTTCGAATGGATGTCAATATTATCAAAGGTCGTTCCAAATACAAATTTAAATTAAATTAAATTAGGCTTATCATTTCTCATATAAGAGTTGCAGGTCGCATATCTATTCGTATTACGTTCTATATGACATGTTAAAATATATGAGATATCGTGTCAGTTATTACCACAAGAGAGAATATGTCATTTATTGCATATTTACATGTATTTAAAGGGAAATTCAACATTTGTGCGCTGTGTAGGGGGTATGTCTTAGTCGAGCGCTCCCAACAGGGCACTTTTACTTGTTTATTTTCACTGGCAAGCTCCCTCCTTGCCTGTCTTCGCTTTGGGGGATTTCCAACTAATTAGCAAGCCACAAAACACGTGATGACTCTCGCTATCGGTTCACAGAGATCAATTCAGCATTCAAAAACTCGATGCATGCGAAATGAAATGACTAGCTCGGAAAGCTCATACCTAGACCAAAACGTACATATATACATGCATATATGCATGTACCTAAATAAACGCCATATCAACTCACACTACACAGACACACCGCATGTGGGGAGGTATTGATATCGTTTTTTTTTCGTTTGGCTTGTCCCTGAAATTGTGCAGCAACCCCGCAGCTTGTTTCCGTTATGGCGTTGTAAGGCGTATCAATTGATTGAATGCGAAACTCTACTATGAATTTATTAACAATTCAAATTTCGATTTCAAAGAAACTGAAAAGGCAGAACAAAAAAAAACAGAGGCCAAACAGTAATACGATATTTATTTGAGTGACAGTTTGGGAGTTACTGTTTGGTCGGTTTCTGTCGCCGCTAAGAATGCACATCAAAGACTGACACCCAGTTGGCGAGCACGCTGCGGTGTGTGTACGTGCTGTCTGTTTATGTCTTCGCTAAGGTATTTGGCTAAGGTTTTCGTTGTGTTTACTTTGTCTCATCTTTATCCGTTTTACACTTCGCTAAATTGTTGTCAGTTTGCTTTTCCTCTGGTTTTTCACCTTTTTCCGTCATATTTAACTCCTTGTTAAACTGCTCACATTTCTCTATAGTTGCTTTGAGTTTGGCCAACTCTTCTGCCGATTTGGCATCTTCTGTTTTGTCTGCCTCCTGGCCGGGCTCTTGCCCCTCTCCGGCCTCAGCTTGCCCTTTCGCTTTCGCTGGCAGCGCGGCTTTATCCACTGCTGCTTTGATCAGTTCCTTGCAGTCGACTGATGCCTTGTTTTCTTGCCCCGTTGGTTCACCTTTATCCTTGCCTAGTTTACCTTCACAGTCGGTTAAGATTTCGGCTATTTTTTGGTCAATTGTCGTTTTGATGTGATCTTCTTCTTTCTGTTTTTCATTCGACGTATTATCTTGAGTTAATTTTGATTTGTTGTCTGATGTCAGGTTCAGATTCTTGTTCTCGCCCGACTTGTTGGACATCTGTAACTCGGCCAACTCCCTCTGCTTCTTCTCTATGGAATCACACCAGGCTTTTAGCTTGACATTCTCAATATCCTTTGCCTGAGCAGCGAGCTGTTCGTCGCACTCAGCCTCTCGCTGCTTAATTGACTCCAAGCTGTCATCAGAGCTGTCTTCTTGTTCATCGGCCTCCGTTATCACCTGGACGCCGCCACCGACGCGACGCTCGTCTCGCACCTCCAGCGACTGATTCTGCAGTACCACAAAGCTGAAGCGATGATAGCCAAAGTATTGGGTATTCTTGTATTCCTTGTTCTTGCCAGCTCCAGGACCAAGCTTTTCTTCCGGATGGCTGAATTGCCGAAAGGCTTCTGGATTTACAAAATCGGACACCTCAATGTCTTCATGATTCACACTTTCGGGCGCATAGCCCTCATCGGGCGGATCCTTGGGCGGACGCGGTGTATTTGAGGGCTTGCTGCTTGATTTTGAGCTTTTCTTCGATTTGTCCTTTGAGGACATGTCGCTCCGAAAGCGTAGCAAAAGCATTGGTCGAATAAGCCGTAACATCTTGTCATATAGGAAAATATTTAGTATTTTCCCCAATCTATATTAGTTAAGAAAACTATCGAAAGATATGGCAAAGTCACCTTTGATTTATGTAGGCGATTGTAGTGGCGCTTGAAGAAAGAACAATTTGTTTGAGTTTAAATAAACAGCCCAAAAATAGGTCTTCTACTATGCTTACCCTGATTAGCAAAGAAAAACTAGTAAGAGGTACTAGTCGGGAGCTCCCGACCAGGGGATACCCTGAACCCTCTTCTTCCAACATCAAATGCATATATATATTCTATTTTAGAAGCTATATGCCAAGTTTGGTGACTCTAGCTCTTATTATTTACCAAAATTGCCCAAAAAACAAGATATCGATATCGATTTTTATCGATTGCTTGGAAACGGAGTAAGTTATTGATTATCGGAAACAAACTCGATCTACGCGGGAGCTAGGAGCACCTACATCTAAAATTTCAGTCACTAGCTCTTATAGGTTCTGAGATCCTTGCGTTCATACATACGGAAGGACGGACGAACGGACGGACGGACGGACGGACGGACGGACGGACGGACGGACGGACGAACGGACAGACAGACGGACATGGATAGTTCGACTCGGCTATTGATGCTGATCAAGAATATATACACTTTATGGGGTCGGAGATGCTTCCTTCTGCCTGTTACATACATTAGGTTTTCGCACAAATACAATATACCCTTATACCCATTTTTAAAGGGTTCAAGGTATAAAAAAGTGCCAGACCCAATCAGGGGTAAGTTAGATTTTTGCTAGACCTGTCTATTGCAGGTATGGCGCTTCGTAATATTCTCATGAACAAAGTATAATAAGATATTGTAGTCTTTCGACTTTCTGCAATTAGCAGCGGCAAACATTTCTTTTTTTTTTTGCCTGCCGAAACCCAAAATATGCAGAGCACCTGTAATTGTCATCTAATGATGAGGCGAATTAATTCGCCTTTTCGCGAATAGCTTAATCAGCTTCGTCCAGCTTTATCGCAATTCGTCAAATCACGTGCGTTCTCTCTAGCCTGCTCGAAAATGGGAGTTCGAAAGTCGAATTAGTGAGAGATGATTGGCGTCGCCGAAACTCCTAAATTAGTTGGAAGTCGTTCCCTGGTGGCTGACGTCGTCAAAGCCGGCTGCATTTATCGTGATCGCGCAATCATTTTCTATATATTGTATATATGTATATATAAGCGAACCGAAATCTTTTTTTCTTTCTTTTTTTTATGTGTAGTACGATAGTTATGTGCGAGTTTGTTTTTTATTCTTTTTTCGGCAAAAGAGTGCGACCGCATGGTCAAATTTTTATTGCGCATTTTTTTTCTTTAACTCCGTTTTTTTTTTTTTTTTTTTTTTTAACGTCCTACATATTCATTCCATTGGCCTGTATTCTTTACTCTCCTTCTCTCCGAAATTCGGGTCGCCATATTGCTGGTGAGAGCCACATTTTTAAAAAGTTCGAAAAGCAATGTATAAAGAGAAAGAGAGAGAGTACAAGTTACATGAAGTTCAACAAAACAACAAGTTTTTATCTAGTGTCTTCTTTTTTTTTAAATTTTTTTTTTGTGCAATTCGAAGTGTTTTTTTTTTCACCACATCATCGCACATGACATCGATGGAAGCGCTTTCGGAGATGCAGAGAATTTATGTAAGTGAAGCAAAAACTCTTAAATTTTATTTAATTTTATTTTATTTAAAAAAAAATACTATAAATTGAATAATTTAATGCCGCGTTAAGTATAAAAGCTTGCGAGTAAAGGGTACGCTTCTTTAAAAAACATTCAACATACGAGAGAACTCGCTAGGATTTACTCTAAAGAGGGCCGTCCCAAAAGTTTGAGTTTCCTTTTACACATATATACACTCAAACACAAGTAACATGCATCGCAGCTTGAGCTGTTTCCGCGACGGTGCTTCTTCTCTTAGCTCCACACCAGCCAATACATACAGCCAATCCTCACGAGATCTAAAGAACTAACCTATGGCATCCAAATGTGTGAATAAGCATGCGTGGCACCGATAGATGGGACGTGCACTCACTAGATTTGACGAAGGTGTGTGTCCTCGCTGAACAACCTGTAAATAATGTTCTCACTCTTGGTCATCTGCTAACAGGCTTACAATTCTGACTAAAACGCCGAATGGTGTGTGTATTGAGAGCGGGTCGCAAACAGAATCTGTTATAGATAATAGATGGCGTATTACAAACAGTGAACGAAGTCCACAATACAACTATCGGTGCGCTTTGCTAGTTACGTGCTCTAGATGGCGCTGTCTGAGGTGTGAAACTTGTATCCCAATTATTCGGTTCAGGTAGGCTGTGATTTCAAGATTGGCCTGCCCACGGACGTTGACCTGTGTGACAGCTGACTCCAGCCTAAAGGCTCATCTATACTTTTAACACTGACAAGAACCTAAGGTTCACATGGGCTATACTTTTCACAGTAACTACAAATTTTCCCAATAGCACCGCAAAAATAAAGGAGTATGAACAGCAGTTTCTATCCTTAGGCGCCCCAGGCGTTGCAGGCGAAAGTCGGGTGCAACCGACTGCGAAATAATCGTCTGCCTAATTTTCCCATAATGTAAATTTATATATATAATCTTAACTCCTTACTTTCGCGGTTATACACAAGTATAGTATAGTATAGTATATAGTTAAGAGGATAGCCTTTAAACTGAGAGACTAGTTCGCTGTCTATTGATGCTTCCTAGGATATACATACTTTATGGGGTCGGCAATGGCTCCTTCCATGCGTTACAAAAACTGCTAAAAAAAACACCTTATAACATCTAAATACAGTTTAAGAGCATAAAAGGTAGTTAGTCCTCAGTAACCGATCCTTAGAGATACCTTTCCGTTCTGTATGAGACATAGTAAGTTTTCTCTATATGTATTTCGACGACTTATTGTTCGGTTCGAGATATATTTTCCTATATGTATCAATGTCCTTTATTCTCACTTTTGTGTGCGCCATTTCCACTTTAATACAGCTGTTTGCCTTATCCGTCTTTTTTCCGGTACCTGGCCGCAGTTTGGGGCTATTGCCAGCTAAGCAGCTGGCTCAAAAAACACGAGAAGGTCAACTACGGAAAGTGACAAAGTCAAGAGAAGTCTTAACAGTTGGCTTTGGTGCTACAATCCGTTGAGTTCTATGCGCTGTGTCTGTGTTATGAGTGCATGTGCGTTTTTGTCGTGGATTTCACAGTGACACTTGCAGCTAACGGGCAAAACAGTTTTGTTGAGTTTTCTATGAGCCGTCAGCCAATTGTCAACTGGCAGCGCCCAAGGGAGCCGCCGCCAGGCAGCTGCAGTTCTGATGCATTTTTAAGTGATTCCTTTTTTCAAGGGGACCCACGCCTTTGGGTCGACAGCTGGCAGCCTGCATGTCAGCTCTGAGCCACTCCTGCCTTTTCTCAAAGCCAAAGAGCGGCTGGCCTTAAGCTACTTTTCAAATAGTTGAACTGAATTTTTATTAAATATTGCATCGCAGCTTTTATGCGGTTCACAAGCTTTGCGCTCTATTGTAGCCCCTAAATATTTATCTACAGTAATAAGGGGCTGCTCAACAAGTTTTCTATAAGTTAAGTTAATTTGATATACGACAGAGCCTTTGATTCTGAGTTTCATTGATTCATTTCAAATGCCTACATTTATTAGTTGCTTATTTTTAGATCCATACCTTTAATTACCACGTATTACCCTAGAAGTATTCTATATATGGTGTGGCCTGTCCTGAAGCTTCCCTCTTGTTACGTTTACAGCATTTTTATGGCGATGCTGTTAACAGCTTCAATTTCTCCGCCCCACAGTCGAGCAGGTGGAAGTTGGTTTTTAAGTGTCCAGCGTAAACTTCATGGGCGGGATGTGGATCAACTTTGCTACCACTTGCCCGCATGCTATGTTCTTATTAAAAAATTTGTTGCCACTTGCTGCCCCAAAGAAAGTTGGTCCAAGGTTTATGGCCCAGTTGCGTACACACGTGTGCGAGGAGTGTTAAGCTCCTTGAAAGTAGACTTGGGTCAATTGGCCAGCAAAACCTGTTGCTGCACTCTGAATTTAATAAAGTCGAAACTGTTCATTTTTCACAATCCATACGCGTTGCGTTGGTTTTCTTTATTAGCTTTACACTTTTTTTTGTTGTAAGTTTAATAACGCACTTGGTCTAACTACAAAAGTTACACAAAAACATTTAAGCTTAGGGCTAGCGTTAGGCAGAGACAGGTTGGAGCTTGAGCTTGATTGGGTTAGTTCCTGGCGACGTTTTGTTTTTAGGAAAGCAAAGCAAAATAGAGAAAGTACCCGTATCCCACATAAGACTAACATAACACAAAAGTTCGCTTAGAGTAGAAATTGTGTGCTTAAGTTCTAGACATAATCAGTGTTCCATTGCAGATGATTGAGGTCGATCAAGAATTGAGTTCAGTTGAAGATTAAACTTTGGACTGTGGTGGTCATGCGTTTACCATTGAGCGCGTCGGTTGCCGTTACGCTCCGAGCTAGAGCTGATTGAGCGTAGCTCCTCGCTCTCAAGACGCTGCTCCTCAGACCGGCGATTGTCTTCGCGACGGCTGTCATTTTCCTCGAGACGGTCGAGTTGCCACAGCTCGTTGTCCAGCAAACGACCTCCCTGGGTCCAGCTGATGGAAGCGCCGGCGCGTGCTGCGTTGCCATTGAGGCGCGTCGTGATCAATCCATTCAGGTTGGCCGAATTCAATAACAGCGGCGAGCCAATGAGCTGTGCCTGCACCGAAGCACTGGACGGATGTGCCAAGATCACGGGCTGGCCGGTGCGCTCGATGTTAAGACGGGCGTTGGGCAATTGGCGCCAGCCATCCAGACCACGTTCCCCAGTAAGCAGAAGGTTATTTGTTGCTACCGAAGGCAGGCGAGATATCAGAGTGGGCGGATGGGACACAACGTTGGCCTGAACACTTTGACCAAGCAGCTGATTGGAGCTGGGCAACAGCAACGATTGCTGTTGATTGCTGAGACGCTCGACGAGGAGACGCTGATTTTGGTTTTGGCTCTGGCTGAGACGCCGCTCTTG